TCGGAATACACACACAGCAATCCATCGATAGTTATTTCTTATTCATGATTTTGAATCATGGAAGTCGAAAATCGATTGCTGTATAAATTTCTTGTCAAAGACGCTTCTGCTATTGACCTACTACGATCAGTGTTTGTGGGATTTCGTTCCTCGTGGCATCCCTTTCCACAAACTCATCTGAGTAGTCTGTGAGACAACTGACAGAGCTACAGCTACAGCTACAGCTTATGTACTGACAAAAAAATAACATTAGTTTCGAGGCAGAAGAACGACGTCCAAATACTCAAACAAGATTTGAACATTATCCACCTATAAGTAGAGTTGGAGGATCAAAAAGTACAAATCGATCCGCCGATAACCGAAAATTTTTTGAGAATTATTATCATTCGTATTTGACGGCAAAAATGCAATAGCGTTTTAATACCTCTGAACGGCTGAGGTCTTTGAAAGCCCAAATTCCACCAAATTAATAATTAAAACCACAAAGTTTGTTTTCAATATTTATTACAAATCTACAATGAAACTGATCAAATAAAAATATATTAAACATATTTTTTGCTAATATGGATTTCCACTTTCCTATTTTGCGGTTTTTTAACTTTACCTAAACTCGTGGTAAATTTCAACAAGTAACCTAAAAACCCAGACATTTTAAAATAAATAGACCAAGCAACAGTAGATAAAGTTAAATAGCAGGGAAAAATTATTTACAACGGAGACTTGACCAGCAAGGTTAGGAAATAGCCACAGTTTTTTTTTCTGACATGGCCACAGCTAAAATCCTGGCCCGAAGTGACTAAGAATAAAAGTTGTTGACGCACTAAACATGAAATAAAATCGATTAAAACCGCATTTTCATCTTTTAGAAACGAATCACAGTAGCAGTAGTCGTATTTCGAAGCAGGGAAATCATCTGCCGGCAAAGGCAACAAAATGGAAATTATGGTTTTTGGCAAGCGAATTTGGTTTATACAGCGTTTCGTTGGTTCGTTGGCAAAAAACATGGGAAGTAATGTTATTTCAAGCGGCCGAGTATTCTTGAAACTGTCAAGCACACAGTCGCAACTTGAGATCGCAACTTTCATGGTCATTAACCGAAAGTGGTTCAGAGGCTGGAATTCCAGAGGTCAAAATTCCAGCTTTCATTCAGATGCAAACCTAATTATGTGCTGATATCAATGGATAAATTAACCTGAGACCTCTTAATACCTCAACCTAACGGCAAAATCTGAGTCAACAAGCGCACAGACAGTTCACGCAAAGTTGAGTGTCTGATATACGTCTTTCCTTCCGACTGTGACACTTTAAAATGCATAAAAAGGAGACGAGAGATGAGATAATTACTCAGACATGAACACGGTACTTAAATGTTTGTTACTATCTACACGACTATTTAACTCCTGCTTAAAAAAAGTGAAAAAGTGAACTACCCGCCGAGTCCCCTCTATGAAACTATGACATCTCACCTTTTACATATGTAAATAATTATAAATCAGCAAAAGAAATTACAAATTAGATGGTATCCCAGGGGTTCTGTGTTTTGCTTTTTCTATGACATGTTGCCTTGTGCGCTTGTGTGATAAGGGCATGCTAATACACTGTTTATATTCACAGCAAAGTGGTTCGTGATATTTCAGTGTACATTACTGAGTCTTAGTCCACTCATTAATTGCCCGAAGTGAAAGTATAATACAACGCATTCCTTTCTCCTCCAGGTCTACACAGGAGACGGAGAACGTGCAGTTTTAGGAACTTCTAACATCACCGAAGGTCTCCGAAAAGATGACTCACTAATTACCGAGCCGGCCCGGGACCTCGCTCTTAAACTGGCCCGTGATGCCCTTGCATTGTCCATAGACTGGTAAGTAGTGCCTTTAATAAGTGCCTGTTTTATGCTCTCGTCCATACCGACCACGCCCATTTCGCCAAACACCTGAAAGAGGAAGGGAGAGGACGATGAAACAAGTGGCGCAATTTTGAGAAGCAAAGGCTATTTGGGATTGCAACGACGTGTTTCACTGAACTCTGATATTTCTCTTAAAATCTCGCACAACCCCATCAACCAATCAAACGCAAAACTAAAACCAATCAAGACTTGATCATTCGCGTTTTCTTGAGCTCGAAGATGTCAACAATCGTTTACTTTCAGGTTTTTTTCTGATCGAATGCCCGAAAGCATTCCTGTTACACAAGCAGTCGATCATTCATTCAATTAGTAATTCAGACAGATAGTCACTCATTCATACAGTCAGTCAGTCAGTCGTACAAAACGCCAATCAGCTAGCCAGTCAGTCAGTCAGCCGTAGGTCTGACAGGCAGTCAGTCAGTCAGTGAGACAGTTAGTCAGTCAGCCAGTCGGTCAGCCGTAGGTCTGACAGGCAGTCAGTCAGTCAGTCAGAGAAACAGTAAGTCAGCCAGCCAGCCAGTCAGTCAGTAAGTCAGCCGTGGGTCTGACAGTCAGTCAGCCATCAGTGAGACAGTTAGTATAGGTCTGACAGGCAGTCAGCCAGCCAGCCAGACAATGAGTCTGTCTGCCGTAGGTCTGACAAGCATGCGGTCAGTCAGTCAGTCAGTCAGTGAAACAGTTAGTCAGCAAGCCAGCCACCCAATGAGTGGGTCGACTGGAAATTTGACAGTCAGCAAGCCAGCCAGTCAGCCAATGAGTCAGTCAGCCGTAGGTCTGACAGTTAGTCGGTCAGTCAGTTAGTTACTAAGTTCTAGCGAGGACTTCGCTCAAAAGTTAACTTAGAATAACTGTCAATCCATGATATTTTACCATGATATTTTAAAAAGAAATAAGAAATATGTGTAGAAATGAACATACCTCTACAATAGCTCCATCAGGCAGCCTTAGGAAGTGTCTGTATAACTCTCGTAACCCATCCAAGTGTATGGTGTGGATAGACACGTGAGATGTGATTTCACGATGCCCAGTCTTTTTTTTGTCCGAGGCCCCCATATCCGACTCATCAATCTAAATATAAAGAAAGTCACTCAGACTAGATGATTACAAATTCAGCAAAATTTTCTGATGCATGCAATCATTCTTAAAATTCCTAGAAACAAACCCCAAAACAATCACACTCAATTTAGTACAATTTAACCTCTGCCAAACTTTTAACACATAGACCAGTTAAAGCTCTTAAGTTCCGGTTAAAGTGTTTAGTTAGGTGACGAAGCTCCCGTGTCTTATATTCAAGCGATCAAACTGGCGAAAACAACGATTTCTGAAAGGTGAAGGAAAAAGAAACAAGCAGGCTTTGGGTCTCTTTCACAAGTAAGACAAAGCAGCTATGCCTTCCTAACACGAGCGAGACAACTTGCGTGTTTCTTCAGCGCTCTTTTCAAAGGAACTTCGTTGAGAGTGCAAACGCATACCTTCTCTTCTTCCCAGATATAATCATAAACAGCGGTTTTTCTCCTTTCTCCTTCTTCTCCTCGCCATTGTTCTGACTTCTTGCAGACATAGTTCAACTCCACATTAGAGATTTCCAGGTCGTAAGGAATAAAGAACTCGTCTTCACGCGCGTGAAGACGGTGATAGACATCCATGAGGCGGCCATTGTTGTGAAGCCTCAAGAAGTACATATACACTACACAAGAAGCAGTGAACAGCGTAACAACGTACAGGAATATTGTCAGAACGATACCTACGGTGCCATTGCCGTCAAAGCGGAAGAAATGCCAGTAGAGTTTGAACGCGTCTCCTATTGGAACATCACCTCCCACGTTTAAAAATCTAAATAAAGTGAAATTCGAAATAAGAATGGGTTAGAAATATTTAACAAAGGTATGTTAGTCTAACACTTCTCACTCTTCCTCCTTTACAGCAGTCTTGTCATGTTACCCGAAAAGTATCCCTTTACAATCCTAAAAACAACTTCTTAACAACCCTAGTGAAGAGAGTGCGTCTGTAATTAGCTCATAGCCGATATCCTTCTTCTTCTCGAAGTGCTCTAAGGTTTCCCTCGTAACCTTTTGTTAGTTCACCGAGTTATATACTGTCGTCAGGTTGGTCATTTATAGAAGTAATCCAGTCCTCTTTTTCTTTCAATAGTAATAAACCGTTGTATCAAAGGGTTCTAAAAAATAGTAATAACTATTAGTTTATACCTCATGAGCGCAGAATCCACGATCAGAATCCAGATGGGATCAAGCAGTGCATTAATTCCAAATGCCATGATAAACCGTGAGAAGATGTTAGGAAAAGTTCCAAACAGTCTCTGCATTCCCCAGCAGAAGAGGATTAATAAACAGAACAATATAATGTTGAAGAACGGTCCAATCACCACTATACTGATCTCTTCCACTGTGTTCAGCAGTGTGTTTTGATAGTTCAGGTTCACTGTGTAGGCGAGAAATTCGTACCTGGAGTTCACAAATAAGTGAAAAGGGAATAAAACCGTCATAATAAAAAAAAAGGGAATCATAAACTGGCACAAACGCAAACAATACTCAACTAACTAACACGATAAGAGGCCCCTCGACATCATGATGTCAACAATCTTTACGTCATGTGTAGAATATCCAGAATATCCTGAACACAACAACTGAAGGCAAAGAGGAGGTAAAGGGCCCCAACAGTTATTACTGTGAAATAACTGATTTATTTCTTCTCATAAATCATTTGAATATTCTAAAAGTATGCAAAAACTGGCTAAAATGGAAGGCGGCTTAACAAACTGCTTTATTCGTACATGTCTAGTAAGCTCCCACACATATCAAATTTGTCGGCACAGTTGCCATTTTTACCCGAATCTTAAACAAGAATTATGGTTCCTCGTATAAATTCCGCAAAATCTAAAAGTCTCGGCGATTCTTCAAGTAACAAGTAGACAAAGGAATACTTAAGTCACCGAGTGAGCGAAAACAATCAAATTAACGAGCGCAAACGAGATTCGGCGAAATAAAATATCAGACGGCGAAAGCGCACGAATCAAATCGAGCACATGAGAGTCAAAGAAAGCATAAGAGATTCTATCTAAGAAAGCGCTCAAGAGTCAAAATAGCACACCAAAACTTTGATGACTTTCCAACCAGAGGATATAAACAGTTTGCTTTCTAACTATCATTACCGTTATCTCCTTGTTATATCATTGACAACGACCGCTTTTACTCACTTGTTAACTGGAACAAATAACGCTTGAAGGAAAACCCACTGGGCGCCATAATGAGCGTACAAACGAACCCACCAGGTGAAGGCAATGAGGAGTAACATGGCCCAAAACTCACGGGAACGCCATTGAGAGAGGCCCAGCTCAGCCATCAATTGACGGCCCACATATTGCATCTTTTCTCGACCGTAGTGGGGAATGCGCCCTTTATTGGACCAAGGTGGCCTTGGGTGAGAAGGACAATTGGAAAATTAAACAAAAAGCAAACAGCACTTTAAGTAAACACATTCAACTTCTGGTTTTTTCCAGCGGTGACAGCTAAAGGTATACAAGACTGTGTAGATGAAGGCAGCTAAACAGAATAACGTTATACTCACTGTACAGTGAATGTGTGTTCTTCGAGTTCTTCTAAATGAGTCAGCTTTTTCTTCTTTTTCTTTCGTGTCATCAGAGGCGTCTTTGGAAGCATAGTAAACATCTTTTTGGCGTGGACGTCGACTGGATTGTTCAAATGTTTCTGGAATATACACATTTGCGACTTAGAAAGGTTTTCTCCATTTTCTATCGCCGGACATTTAGATTTACTTTTGCACGACTATTTTCAGAGCTGAAAAGACGAGCTATTATATGATAAAATAAAGTAAGATATCGCGAGCAAACTTTACGTTTCCCGGTCGCATCGTTATTTTTGTCATCATGGCTACATTCCACAAGAATACGCTAATTCCAAAATAACTTTTCTAATACTAATTTGCACTCGGTAATAACATTCGGACAACTTTGTGATGTTTGGTTATTTCTCAGCATTGTATTAGCTTCCTGCAGTCCAGCACTCGACTCCATAACATCATACATAGGCTGCTTAGAAAGCTGTCGATAAGAATGCAGGCTCACTTGAAGAGAGTAATACTATTCTCAACGGGAAGCTGTGGAGGCAGTGAGGCCGAGTGGTTTACGCGCTGGAATTATAATCCGGCGGTCCTGGGTTCAAGCCCTCCACCCTGTTACTCATTGGATTTGCTCTCGGTTGCCTCAAGTTCAACTCCTTGAATGCACTTTGTATATGGGATTTTTAAACTCTATGTTTAATTAAAATTTCTTTGCAATGGCTCTGAAAAGCCTCCTTAGTGGCATTTTTTTAACGTTATCATTGCTATTATCATTATTGTCATTATTATTATCATTACTATTATCATTATTGTTATTATTATTATTATTATTATTATTACTAAATAATTATATGAATACGAAGATTAATAAACTCTCTAGATACTACTCTTACCGTACCTTGTAATACATGCCTGGTTGGCCCTTCACCGGTCTAAATCCATCATCTTTTTTCAGCATAAGAACTTCATCATCAGAATAGTCCGTCCCACTGCCGTCGCTTGAGGCGTCGATCTCCACCGCTTTGCGCGACATATGCATGGTTACGGGACGAGACGTCCGTCTCTGTGACACGGCTGAACTACGGCGCTGACGTAATATCGGTTCGGGCACTGCGAGAGACTGATAACAAAAAACACACCACTGATCAGACCTTCACTTCTCCTTAAAGGGTATCTGAAAATTTGACTACGACTTCTAAGGCGTTTTGTAAATCTGCTTGCCGACGGTTCCCTCGCTTACAATTTGACAAGTTCGTTTGGTCGAAAGGACGATGGTGCTCTTGTTTGAAAGCTCTATTTCAAAACAACTTGAAGAAATACAGTTTTGTCGCCAACTGTTTGACAAGTCAATAAAAAATCTTATTAAGCTTGCTTGTGCTATCGAGTAAAAAAAACTATGTTATTCACGTTTTTCCTATTTCAACCCATTTTAGTGTGTCACTCCACCAGTAATTTTAAATAGGATCACCATATGGCTAAAATGTTCTTCAGACAACAGTTCATAACAAAAACATGTACAGTAGGAGACTTGACATGTTTCAACTATTAATAGCTCGTACGACACTCATGAAACATGGTTTGATTTTACAGTAAAACATGACTCCAAGAACATGAAAACAATGGTCGAAAAAGGATGAATAAAGCTGATAATTGTCTAACATCAATTAACAATTGTGAAAATAAAAACAAAGGAGTGATCGAGAAATTGAATTCCACAATTTCTTTTAGGCAATACTGCATATTTTTGACGCAGTTGTGTGCAGGATAAGGAACATAGTTCAAGCACTCACAGTTCTTCTAACATCCGGGACTTCCACCTGCAATTTCTGGGTAGAACCCAGGCCTTCTTTTTCCTCCACAGCTGCATCAATAGCTACAGTGCTCCCAAAAAAACTTGACCTAGAAATAATACAGGCAGTTTGTCATAAACATTGTAAAGTGCTGTATAAACAAGTTGTAAGACGAAGGGCTCCATCATCTAGAGGGTAATAGCTTAAGTATTACAAAAAGTAGCACTAAAGGGCAAATTTTCAAGAGCAACTGAAGGACAGGCTTAAACTCCATGCCCAATGAAAACAGATGTCAACAGAAAACCACATACAAGCACATGTTGCATTTGTGTTGTCAAAACAAAACACTTCACAAGTTTAAAGAGATACATGTATTTTGTAATTACTATACTCTTTCCAGCTCTTTTACAATAATTAAAGGCAAATCTTTCCCTTGGACATGGTTTTGGTTCAACAGAGCCCCTTTTAAGGTGAGGGGATTGAATAATTACCCCATCATGCTGATTCTGCTGCCACGTCGAGTGCTGGATGGCGATGACTTGAGATCCATTCGAGAACCGTAAATGGGCTCTTCTCCATCAATGTTCTCTTCATCAATATTCGTGCGTGATGGATAGCTTAAAATTCCTGATGTAAATTGTAGTTCAACTTCATATTCCTTCTGTCCAGCCATATATCTAATAATAACAAGATGCATATTAATTAAATCACTATTTAATTACATATCCAACTTTTAGAGTAAGTCTGTAAATATGGTCAAACGTCACACCAGCGTTAATCTCAACTTTAGATTTATCATCCTTAAGGAAGCCCTCTCTATACCTAAT